GTCTGTCTTTTACAGGGGTCCTTTACACCTGCCTGCAAGCTAGTACTCACGGAACCCTGGGCTGACCAGAGTACTGCCTGAGTGCATTCTGCCAGGGGTCAGGGGCAGGCCAGCATAATGCCTGAATCCTTACAATGTTTACATTACAGTTTATAACAGTAGGAAACTTAAAGTTGTAAAGTAGCAACAAAAATAATCTTATGGTTGGGGTCACCACAACATAAGGTGAAGACCACTGTTCTAGTGCTTATTTAGAGTTAATAGGCAAGGAAAGATGTTAACTAAAGAAAACCAGAACGGTAGCATGATGAAGGCAGAAAACTGCAAGGACGGGCCAGACGCTGTAATCACTTATGCTGTAACCCAGCATACATTATAAAAATTACTGCATTGTGGAAATCATGCTGTAAAACCACACGAGGTTAGAACACAGCTCACAAAAACTTTATAGGATGAGAAAAGGTAGATAATGAACATGGAGACAGTCTGACCTAATGTTAAGTTGCTAACTCAAGAAGACCTGGCATTTGCCTGTGACACAGGTATAGAAAAGGGTTACCCCTTGTGAATCATTGAAGTGGTAGAGGATATGACACAGGTGGACAGAGAGGTGTAACACCAGATATGGACAGTGCAGTGCATGTCTGTGGGGAGGTGGAGTGATGTTGGATATTGGAGGTATTCCTCTGTGGCTACTTGAGCCAGATGTAGCTTTCTACACCCATACCTGATTTCTTTTAAAACATCTTCTTTAATTTTTAGGGTTTCATATGTGCATATAATTACTTTGATCATATTCATGCCAGTTCCTCCTGGTAATGTCTCCCAGATCCACTTTCCCATTTCACCCCAACTTTGTGTTCAATCCCCTTTTTAATAGAATAGCCCACTGATTCCAGTTTGTGCTGTACTTACACTGCTGTGGGGCCATGCAGTGGCTCTTTCATGGGGGGGACTTAGTAGGGACCACTTCTTTCAGAAGACTGGGCTCTTCCTCCTTCAGAAGCTATCAGTGACTCAGTTCCTGCCCTTTTCCCTCCCCTTCATGCTAGAATGCTAGCTGGCTTCATCTTGGGCAGGCAACCACAGCTGATTGTGAGTGCAGCAGTCTTGTCACATCCATCTGATTCTGCCTTGGTCTGTGCCTCCCAACCCCTGTCTCTTCACATCTCTTAACAAACAGTCTTTGCACCTTCCTCTTCCTGGATGGTCCATGAGCCTTGAAAAGAAGAAATACGCTATAGATGTTCTGTTGTGCCTAGCATTCTATAGACACTTACTCGATACATCCGAGTGTCTGTGTCAACCTCTGTTCATGACTAGAAGTTTCTCTGATGAGGCCTGAGGGATACACTAGTCTGTGAGCATAGACTTAGAGAGCACTTGATTGATACAATGTCCATTTATCCTTCTCCCCCAACCCTATGAACTCCCCAACTGTAGTTTCTTACCCCACATTTCAGGAACAGGATTGTATTTCCTGTGGAGCTGGCCTTAAACACAATAGGAAAGTATAATTGTCCACTGTACCTTACTGTTCTGCTCATTGCTGTAGCTGACAAGATACAAAGAAGTTGCTTTATTGGGGTATTTTCATATTTACATCATTATACTCCAGGAGGTTTTGTGCACCCTCCCCGCTGCCTCTTCTCTTCTAATACATCCTCATAGCATCTTACTGGTTCTCCTTCCCTGAACTACTATTCCCTACCATTTGTGTTTTCATGATGCATTCTATTACCCCTCTCATCTCTCCCTTCTCATTACTGTAGACTTCTTCTTCCCCTCGTGTGGTCCTCTTTCATTCGTGTGTGTGTGTGTGTGTGTGTGTGTGTGTGTGTGTGTTTCAAATCTACATTCCACTAATGAGAAGAAACAGCACTCTGCTTCCTACAAACATCACAATTTTAATTTTTATAGTTGAACAAAATTGCAGTGTGCGCGCACTACGTTTTCATTGTTCACTAGTCAGTCGAGAGATAGCTATACTAGTTTTATATCTTGTCTGTTGGGAATAGTTAAATAACAAACATGGATGTTCAAATATCTTTGAGTATTCTGACTTAGAATCCTTCATGCGTGTACCCTGAAGTGGTGGTAGCAGTAGTGTGGTAGTTTTATTTCCCGTGGTATGAGAGAACGGCTGATTTCCATAGTGGGTCACAGTTCACTCTCTGTGTATAAGGGTTCCTTTCTCACACACCCTTGCCAGCATTTATTGTCTTTTCATTTGATTTTGGGGGAGTTAAGAGGCTGGCATTGATCTACCTCACTAGTCCTATGGTTACAGGTGTTTTCCACTACCCCATTTCTTGAGATCTGGGGTGAAGTCTAGGGCTTCCAATGCAGGTGAGGCATTGAGCTGTATCTCTGTTTTCTTGGCAGCTATTTTGAATAGGATAAAAATTGAAGCTTAACAGCATTATAAATTGTGTTTCCTTGATGGCCAAAGATCTTGAGCACTTGCCCAAGTATTTATCTAGTTTCATTTCATCAGTGGAGAACCATGAGCAGTGCCTGGCCTTCATTGTTTACTGAATGATGAGTTTCGTCTAGTAATACCTAAATTTTTATTTTTTTCATAAATTCTAGATGTTAATCCTCACTGATATGTGATGGCAAGTATGTTCTCCTTTATGCTGTTCCAGTGTTGTACAGAAGTTTTTAAATTTTATGCTGTTACTTTCTTCCTGTTGAAATCCCTGTCAAAAACTCCTTGCCTGTGCCTTGCAATGTTTTCTTCTAGCACTTTTCCAAATTTAAAATCTTACATTTAAACAGGGTGGTGGCGGCTCCCAGCACTTGGGAGGCAGAGGTAGGTGGATCTCTGTGAATTTAAGGCCAAGGTTGGGAGCCCCTGGACAACTGTGATTTGAAAACACTTCTTACGGGAAGGAAAGCTGTGTCAGTCTTAATAATGTTAACTGAAGACCTGTTTTGTAGGTGAGAGGTGGGCTCTTGGAAGTCTTTGCCACCTTGCAGGTAGCAAAGCTATTGGCATATCTTTACACTTGGTGCTGGAAATGTAGGGCTCAGAGCGATTTGGAATAACAAAAAAGAAGGGCTCAATTTTGACTGGTCGGTCTCTTTGAAATTAGTTTTGCAGCACTAGGAGTCAACCTTAGAACCTCAAACATGGCTACAACTGAACTGTATTTCCTTGTTTTTAATGTATGTATGTGTGCACTCAAGTCAGTCTGTCTGTCTTTCTGTCTGTCTGTGCCTGTATGTGGTGGGGGTGGGTACAGTTAGAACTGTTGTAGTCGTCAGCCCAGGCTGGCTTTCAACCTTCCTCAGCCTGCTAGATGGGGACTAAACATTGCCATTCCAAGCTAGGAAAACTAAATTTAGAACAAAACGATTGAGGTACCAAAGAGGAGAAAATATTAAACTGAACTTATTATGGGGTCACATTCCTTGGACACTTAAGTTTCATGGGCTGGGAGTGTAGGTGAGGGCAGAGTAAGGAAGCACTTTCTTCAGTTGCTTCTCAGTTCAGCCTCTGAACTCCATTGTAGCCTCTGTGGCATTGATTTGGAGAATTTGGATTTTTCTGTTGGTAGCATCATTTGCCTTGATGTGAACCTGGCTCTGCAGCACATGGTAAAGACTACAGAATTAGCCAGGCAATGGTAGTAGGTGCCTTTAATCCCAGCACTTGGGAGGCAGAGGCAGGTAGATAAGATCTCTGACAAGGTAGAAACCATGTTTCCAAAGGAAAAGGGTGAAAGAAAGGAACGAAGGAAGGAAGGGAGGAAATAACAGAAAGAAAAGAAAAAAGACTACAGAACTACTAACCCTAAGTCATAGCTTCACTGAGAAAAGAAGATTTGGAGATTAGCTATTTAAATGGTGCTTGTAGTCACTGATTCCAACAGTGTTTTAAGTTATTTATACAGCTTTTCCATAGGATGATATTGATGGTTTGCATATCTTGTAAAAACTTAAATTATGATAATGTAGTTTTAAATTCTGAGTTCAAAGCTGCTACTAAATTAAACTACCCCCATTGGATCCTGAAGTTACGTTATCAAATGACTAACTGGTTTCTTGTGGTAGCATTTTCAGTAGCTCTTGATTTATAGTGGTTTGCATCTACTCTCAGAAAACTTCATTCGTAAGTGGGTAGATTTATTCTCAGTTACACCTTTGTAGACCGTATTTACTCCCATAAATTACTTCCTGGTTTCAAAAGAAAAAGAAACAGGCTTAGCTCTTTGTGATATTTTTGTCTTTAGTCTTTGGCATCTTAGTGGTGTGAAGCAGAGTTATGCCATCTGTAGTCAAGTCAGAGTTTATTTTTTAAAAAGGTGGGAGGGGTTTGAAAAGATTGACTGGAAAACTTTAGCAGATTCTTAGGGAGCTATAAGATGGTCCTAGAAACAAGGTTTGGTTCCATAGGCTGGCTGATGGGTGAGTTCTTTTTACAGTTTCCCCTTCTGAGAATTGTAGAGGTACTTACTGTGTATGCTAGAGAGGTTAAAGACACACCAGTGTTTGTCAATTAACAGTCTGCAGATGAGCGAGTATTTTCCTCTTGGTGTGAATTGCTGTGCCTGAGACCTACCAGGCATTTTGCTCCTGTTTAGAATGGTTGTTGGATTTCAGAGTGGTAACCCTCTCTATGTCGGTATGCGTTGTGAACAGAGGGACTGTGCTAAGTTGGCCTTGGGGCTTTCTGCATCTGCTGAATTTGCCAGGAGGTGGTGACACACATCTAATCCTAGGCAGAGGCAGGCAGATCTCTGTGAGTTTGAGGACAGCCAGGGTTATACAGAGAATCCCTGTCTCAAGGGAAAAAAACAAAAAGAAAGGAACTCTATCTTAAAAGACAAAATAAAACAAAAAACTCTGCTGGATTTATCATGCTTTACTTGATGAGTTCAGTTCTGATATAAATGTGTTTATTTCAGGGAATTGGCTCAGCTTTCCATTTGAAGCTTGGCTGAAATGTGTCTTTTTTTTTTTTTTTTTTTTTTTGTCTTTGGTTTCTGTTTCAGAAAGAAGACATAGCTCATCTAGCAAGCCATCCTTGGCTGTTCCTCACCCTTCAGTATTTTCCCTCTTCCCTTCTCTGTCCAAAAGCAAAGGCGGCAGTGCCAACAGCCGGCCTTCCGGTGCAGGCTCCCTTTGCACAGCCGCATCAAGCTCCAAGTTACTCAAACTGCCCAAAGAGAAACTGCAGCTCAGGGGGAGCATCAGACCCATGCATCCCACGCAGCAGACTAAAGTCCCCCACGGTAGAGTGTAAGTATGGCCACAGGGGTTTGTACAGCTTACCTGCTAGGGTGAGTGAGTCCTATGTGGGTGCCATCCAAGAGTGCCTGAGTCTTTGTAAAGAGTTCGCTGGAGTGGGGTGAGGGGCTCAAGTACACTGTTAACTCTTCAAGTTAATTATCACAGTAATAATATGGCTGCTAATATATTTTTCATCCTTTCTGGTGTGAGTTGTTGAAAATGGTTGTATTTGTCTGGGATGTCCTATATTGACCATAACACCCCTGTGGAATATGTATTCTTATTCCTTTTTTCATATAGGTAACTTGGCTTTCATTTCTATAGCTGTCTAAAAGCCAAAGAAATGGCAGGGCAGTGTTAAGGTCACTTGTCAGCTTAACAGTCACCAGAGGCCAGACGCCACCAGAGTTTGCAGACACATTCACCCAAACCGCCACTGTCATGTGAAAGCTTAGACGGGAACCAAGTGAACCATTAGGGTTTTGTTGACATCACTTTCACCAAGCAACAAAGTGACAGTGTCAGCTAGATAATAAGAGAAATTGTTGTTAGTGGCACGAGTATTCCTGTTCACCAACCAGTTGCCAGGTGTATCTGACCTAAGCTTATGTCATAGCAGCCTGTGTTCAGGGACAGGGACCCAAACAGTGACATATCATGTGCTGATTCAGCAGCCTTCCTTTTGCCAGAAGCAGAGCTTGAGTGACATGTACTCAATCATGCATGTTTGTTTTAATAATTCCTTTCATTAAAGTGATAGTTCTTGTGAGGTAATGAGGAATTCTGTGGTGTCATCTTGGTCCTTCTAGAACACTTCATGTTTTGCTTCTTGTAGAAACTGCGCTGACTAGCAGGGTTACTGAGTGGCTACAGCTGATTCACTCCTCCCCCAAGTGCATGCCATGTGTTCTGATGGGTTGTGTTCCCACTAATCAATAAACGAACACTTGTTAAACCAAAGAACAAGAAAAGAAACCGCATTGACTCTTGGGTCTGAGTTTCCCATTGGTCCATGGGAATATGTTTCTGAAAGGATGAAAACGGGCTTTTTGGGCTTTTTGTCACAAGAGCCATGAACATCACTACTCACTTTTCTTAGTGGTTCAAACAAAATGTACAAGGGCCTTCCCAGAGCCCGTGCACAGGGCTAGATCTAGGTCTCCCCAGAGCCCTTGCACAGGGGTAGATCTAGGCTTGGCATCATCCCTTTGGAATAACAGGGCACTTGTTCATTACATTCTCACTTCCCCTGCACAGCATGACGCCCTCTGTGAAGGTGGAAAAGATGCATCCGAAGATGGATGGTACACTACTGAAATCCACAGTGGGGCCAGCCTGTCCTGCTGCTGTGAGCTCTGCAGTCAAGTCTGGCCTTAACTGCCCCTCAATACCAAAGCCAACCTTGCCTTCACCTGGACAGATTCTGAACGGCAAAGGGCTTCCTGCAACACCTACTCTGGAAAAGAAACCTGAAGACAGTTCTAATAATAGGAAGTTTTTAAATAAGAGACTATCAGGTAATGTCATAATTCCCTCGAGAAGCTGTATATGTAAAGTGGGGTGTGCACGGTTATATATGAAGGGCCTTCTTAAAGCTAGTCAACGTGAACCATGGGGAAAGGTCCCATCAGGGTGGACCTCTCTGTGTATGCACACTTGTATGTTGGAATGAAAATTTGTTTATATGATTTTTCTGAATATAAATATTATTATGCAAAATCAGTAAATATTTTTTTAGGCTCCAGTAGTAGTTATAGCCTTTCAGTGAGGATAATAATGTTCATGGCAATGCTCACAGTTCATCTGCAGTATATTCATTAGTAACAGGGCACATCTTATTACAGTTTTAATTTGTCTATCTTGAGATTTCCTCTTATTTAAAAAATGAAGATAGTGGTTGGTATACCCACTGCAGTAATGTTTGTGTGCTCCATACAGAAAGAGAGTTTGATCCTGACATCCACTGTGGGGTCATCGATCTGGAAACCAAGAAGCCCTGCACCAGGTCTTTGACTTGCAAGGTACGTACTTTCTGGAGCAGAAGTGAAGGCTGGTGTGTGCATGGAGCTGGTAATACCATGCCATTCCCATAGCTGGTAATACCAATACCATACCCACCCAAAAGGGGCCAGTGGGTTGTATAAATTAAGTAAGCTGCTTGAGACAAAAAAAAAAAAAAAAACAAAACAAAAACAAAACAAAACAAAAAAAATAACATGCTATATTAGTTACCATCATGACTCTTCCTGTATGAAAGGCTTTGCTTTTATTTTCCTTAAAATTATAATTTATTTTTTGTGTACATCTTTGTGTATGAGCACCAACATAGCACACATATGGAGGTCCCAGTACATCTTGTAGGAATCAGAAATTTTCTTCTGTCACCACTTTTAGGTGTTCTTATGGTATTTCTTGCTTGTTTCCTTAATTAGTTCCCCCTTCTGTCCTAAATGTGTCATAGCTCATGTGAGGTCAGAGGATAACTTGTACAGGTTGGCCATCATTTGGCTTCTGGGTCTCAGACTCTGGTCATGAGGCCTGGTGACTGGTACACTTCTCTGTTAAGCTGTCGTACTGGCCCAAGTGACTTACATTAATTTAGAATTCGATTCTAATTCTTGTAAGTAGCATTTTGCAGCAGTGGGGATGCTCTTGAGTTGTTGCGCTCCAGTACCCCTCCTCAACTAGGTTGCATGTGTGCAGTCACCACTCTCATCACAGCAGTGTTCTGGAGAATTTGAAACCTTTAAATGTCTAACTTTCAAACAAAATCGTAAACCTTTTTCTCATTGGGAAAAATTACATGGATATTCAGATATTTGCATTCTATTTTGTGCGGGTGGATACCGTTGACCTGAGCCCACATCCTCCTTCAGATTTCTAGCCAAGAAGCTCATGCCTTAATATTGGTCTTCTTTTCATGGAGTATTAGTCGAATAGTAACGTTGTCTACTGCTCTTGTTTTTGATGATGGCCACTTGATTCTGTCACAGTTTGAGATGTGAATAAATGAACATTTGAAAGCAGTGCTTACCTATGCTCCATATCATGGTAGTAACATCACCTCTTCTCTGTCCCTCCTGCCTACATGGCTCTTTGTAACATGGTTGTATACAGAAATGTGTAACAATGATTATTTATCTAAGATGTGCTTTCTGCATGACCCATGAAGCACCTGGTAGATAAGAATTCTCCCTTTCTTTTGAAATTGCATCATGATCAAATAATTTAACCACCTACATCTTTCTGGTATTTCAGCGTATTGCTGATTGTTAGCGTTCAGTAGATCAGCACACATCTGGAACTTACCATCTTCTTAACTGGACTTCTATATTTGTTGATGGATAACTTTACTTCCCTCCTGTCTACATGACCTGAGTATCTTAATTTTCTACACTTAATTTTTGTGAATTTGGATATTTTATATTCTACATGTGACCATTTTCTTTTAGCTTACATTGGCAGAAATTCAGTATTTCCTTCTATTGAAAGGCTGAATAATATCCCATTGCAAACATAACCATATTTCTTTTACCAACTCATCTGGTGATGGGCTTTTAGCTCCTTTCCGTATCTTTGTAAGTGGTGCCTTGATGGGCACGGGAACAGTAAAACCCCTGCAAGGCCTCAGTTTTAGTTCTTTTCATAACTACCTAGAAATAAGGTGGTCTGAGGGTTTTTAGTGTAAACTCTTCAGGAAGTTTCATTCTCTATTTTCCTATGCCTTCATTGCTAGGTGACCTGCTTTTGTTTGGCTATATGCCATCTTGTTTGTCTGTCAGTAGTGTGTGTCGGTCTGCTGTGTTAAGAGTGTCATTGCTGTTGGTAGCACGGTTCTAAGCTTTCTGTCTTCAGCGTTTAGTTAGTTCAGCATGAAACTGTTTGAAAATGTGGCCTCCAGTTAGTCCTACACCTTGACAGGTGCCTTTACTGTCTACCACTATTCTGTGTTCCTGTTTTCTTTACTTTCTCTTTGGCCCTGTAGTTGTAGTTCTGTAGGACTCAACATGACCATGCCCATAAGTTGATGCCAGGTCTCTTTTGTCCTAGACATAGACTGTTGAGTATTACAACCAAGAGGGGAGTTGGTTTGTTGTCTGCCTCCCATCTTTACTGCTCCCACTGCCACTCTTGTTCATAGCCTTCTTACATGCCTCTATGCAGAGGGCTTTGTAACTATTGGCTTTTGTCCTTCTTCTTACCTGATTATTGTACCAGGTACAACTGTGAGCACAAGTCTTATTTGAAGTCCCACAACTTACAGACGTTAATACAATCAATGCATGTTTTGTAGCCTTGTGGACCTTACACTATGATGGAGGAACCAATGATTTAGTAAATAATGGCTCATAAGTATAATTATCACTGTATAATGTATTATTACTGCTGATTCATGGACAGGAAAGAGGCTTGGATTATGAAGTCCTACAGTAAGAAGGTTTGAAGGTCTCACAGCCACAGAAACATGAATGAAACCAAAGTCTGATTTATTTGGCAGAGAGGGGCCAGAGGAAAAATGAGTGATGGCCCTTCCATGCCACAGACCCTTAGACTAGAGCCTGAAAGGTGGCCAGGAAGCTGAACAGAAAGCAGGCAGGCAGGCAGGCAGTGCGTAGAACTCTAAGCAGCAGAGGGTGGCAAGCAAGGGTCTGAGAACATGTGAGGCTCCTCATGGCTGACTTACACAGTCACTTTTCTTTGTGTCTTAAGCAATCTCAGCAGAGCTGTAACTGTCATGAGTGGAAGGTGCTCACCAAGTTTCTCTCTGGAATCCCTTCAAAGTTCCATGGAAGTCCCATTTACTCTTTAGACAGAAGTAGGATAGTATCACCGTCTCCTCCCTCACTTGGCTTTACTATGCTAAGCAACAAGAAGTGTTCAAATAACAGTATATGTGCATTCATTCTTTACATATATTGATGGGCCATTGTTTTATGTTTTTAAAATTCTTTATCTGTATGGGCGTTTTGTCTTCATTTATGTGTGTGCACCACATTTGCAGTTCATGGAGTTAGAAGAGGGTGTCAGATCCCCTGGGACTGGAGTTTCAGATGGTTATGAACTACTCTGTGGGTATTGGGAATTGAACCAGGGTCCTCTGGAAGAACAGCCAGTGCCCTTAACCTCTGAGCTGTCTCTCCAGCTAAGGCCTTTGATCGGCTTTTTGTTTGAAGCATTTACTAAATGGAAAATGTTCTTCTAGGTGTTGGTACAGTAATGAGCAGAATAAAGTTCCTTATTTTCATTTAAGTTTCTCTCTCATAAATACATTACATATTGCCAGCTATTGAGTAAAAATTGTGAAATAAATTCATCTGTACCAGGCTGGGTGGATTTCATTTGCAGTTTGTCTGCCAAGGAGGAGATTTGTGGTTGCCCTAACTCCTAAGAGTTTACATTAATTCACTGTGTTCATAGAAAGGGGCAGAGCCACACTGCTCCTGAAGACTGGCAGTAGCATTAGAAGTAGACTGAGGAGAGGGACTAGCCCATGTAGAATGACTTCTACAGTGATTGGATTTGACTGTTGGTTAGATTGGCTTCATCTGACCACTTCACTCGTAAAGAGTCAACTTTGTATCCTGGTCAGAATGGCATTGGACTTTGGGTATATGCCTTTAAAGTATCAGAGGCTAAAGGATGCTTATTGGGTAAGAGTCACTTCCCAGCAACTACCGTGGGAGGTTTGCAGCTTTCTGTAACTTGTTCCAAGCCTTCTGACACACAGGTACCCACCTATAGACACAAGTACATATACATGATTAAAAGTAAAATTAATGTTAAAATATCAGTGGTTATCAAATGCAAGATGTGATCAAGCGTTGACTTGTATTAGTCACCTTTTTAAAGCCAGGACTGCCACATTCTCTATGTGCCCATTTCTGCTGTCAGAAATACTGACTAGATCCACAAGCCGAATAGCATTTCTGTTGTTTACTGCATTTCTTCTGTCTTGTTCATAGTTCTTCTCTCTGCCTTGGGTTCTTTTCTTGGCTGCACCAGACTGTCTCTACAGTTTTATGACCCCCTTCTCTCTTCATACCTTATTTTGTTGAGTAGAGAAAAGCAGCTGTGTTCAACTTTTGTCCTCAGTTACTAAAAGAAAACTTTACCAATACGTTTTTTTTAAATTTAGTATTCAGAATTTAAAATCATCTTGAGGGTTTTTGTTTGTTTGTTTGTTTGTTTGTTTGTTTTGTGTTTTTGTGAATGAAATTCATAAGCACCCATGGGCTGCTTATGAATGACCCAAAACAAGAGTACCTGCTTTTGGTACTGTTTGATACTTGTTCTATGCCAGGTGACACAGCTAATGTTGTCCTCTCTTCGTGCAGAATGACACGCCCAAGCTCCTGTGGTTAGGAGCTAGAATATGTGATTCTGGCTTCTCTGAAGAGAAACACTCTCAGTTTAGTAAATGTGGAGACATCTCATCTTCGAAAGCTATAGCATGTTTTCTTGAGGGATGTGTTTGAAGATCTACAGCCTATTTTTTTACTGAAATTCCTCATTTTCTGTGTTCTTATTTTTGTTTACTTGTGTCTATTATAGACACATTCCTTAACCCAACGGAGAGCTGTTCAGGGTAGAAGAAAACGATTTGATGTGTTATTGGCCGAGCACAAAAACAAAGCCAGGGAAAAGGAATTGATTCGCCATCCAGACTCTCAGCAACCACCACATCCTCTCAGGGACCCGCATCCCACCCCTCCTCGGATGCTGCCACAGGAGCCACACCTTTCTTCAGAATCGAAGCCTTTTGTAGCTAGTAAACCGAAACCTCATACCCCTAGTCTTCCAAGGTAAGCCAGCCTCCAACTGTGTCTCCCTCCTTCAGCAAACAGGTGCTAGACACGTGTGCCCTGTGCATCCTTCTACCTCCTGCACAGCTGTGCTGTCAAGAACGCTGTGTCACTGTCACAACAGGAGTTGGTACTTTCTAAATTGAGTTTTACTGTAAAACTGTTGAAGTCCTCAGTACATTTTGGTCAGGGCTCCCAGGTATAAATGCAAACACTAGTGTAAAGTTAGAAGTACCTGCCCTACAGTGGTCCTGTGCCAGGTTTCTCATAACCCAGTCTCAGGCAGAGCTGAGACTGGGCCTTGCATTCAGGTTCCTAGTAGGTATGTTTCAGATGGCTTTGACCATCTATTTCTTGTGTTTTTGCAAATTAGAGTAGTGAGAAGTCTTGTAGACAGACATTTAGCTTTAATAGCATCTGTTTATTAACATGAGTTTTCATTACTCATTTGGAACTTTGTCTTCAGCATAAAGTAGGCATTAACAGCATAGAAAGCAAAGTCAGAGTGATAGTTTACCCTGTGCATAGCTCACTGGCAGTGATGAGAGAATATGAGTGTGCTTGTGCTGCTTTAACCCATTTCCAGAGACAGGGTGTGGGGGCTGGGGTATGAGGATGCCGTTGGCCACAGGGCTTCTGCTGTTACTCCAGCCCCTGGCGACTGCTCCTTCATGTCACCCTGTTGTACCTGACGCTTGGAATGACTTCGTTAAGGTAGAAACATCTCCCTCAAGATAATATGAGTGTATACTTGGACATGTCAGAACAGCCCAACACGAGCGAGCTCTGTGGTTTAGGGCCCAGGCAACAGAGTGGTCAGTGGAGGCTTCCACAGATACAGTCAGGCTCAGACCGAGGTCCCCGTGTGTCATTTTCTTTGGCAGGCTCTCCATGAAGATAATCCATCCGAAAAGTAAGATTTACTGTCACTGCTCAAGGATTACCATGTTTTCTTCCTACATGTACATCATGTAGGTGTAGATGTAGGAAGAAAACATGGTAATCCTTGAGCAGTGATGTCCAGACTGACTACTTCACTCTTTATCTCCTCCTTTCCCTTTAGGTTAGTTATACTAGAGGACTTTGCCAATTACCATATACGCCAGAGATACTGATACAATATTTTGAGATGTGAAGAGTAGTCAGTGAAAGAATCAAGTTGCACTTGTGTCCCTATTCTTTGGGGAGGGTGGAAGAGAGGCTTGGACACCAGATAGCTCTTGGGGGAGAAACAATTATAAGCTGCCTTTGCTTGTATGGTACAGAAACGCTCACCTTAGAACTGGATTGCTAAGGGGAGTACCCCACCCCAACCCCCATGGTGGACCTGCCTCTCTCCATCCTCTGTGGTTTTAGATGTGCGTGAGTTGAGACTGCTGATGCCCAGCTTGTGCTTGTGCTTCTGTTCTGAGTGTGCTGTCCTGTTTACTCGCTCAGGCCTCCAGGCTGCCCTGCTCAGCAAGGTGGGAGTACCCCCATTGACCCTCCTCCAGGCCACGAGTCTCCACACCCTCCCTTGCCTGCCACTGAGCCAGTGTCTCGGTTATCAAGTGAGGAGGGTGAAGGTGATGACAAAGAGGAGTCTGTTGAAAAACTGGACTGTCATTATTCAGGTCACCATCCTCAGCCAGCTTCGGTAAGTTCTGCATCCACTTTCGGTGGCCTCCCCAATGCAGCATAGACACTGAATTGTGGTGGCAGAGACCTTGCCGGGCTGTACATGTAGTACCTTACGATACATGTACTCATTCTGGGGCCCTCTCATACTTTCCTCCTCTCTTCCTCAAAAGTTAGTGCTAGGCATCGATGCTCTCACGTTTCATGGCTTCCTGTGCTCAAGGAATTTGAGCTCTGTGCTGGCAGCGGAGGTGACAACGCATCCGTCCTGTGCTCTCTCCTTCAGTTTTGCACATTTGGGAGCCGGCAGATTGGAAGAGGTTATTACGTGTTTGACTCCAGGTGGAATCGCCTTCGCTGTGCCCTTAACCTCATGGTAGAAAAGCATTTGAATGCACAGCTATGGAAGTAAGTACCTTGTGGGGGTGGAAGGGGGTGACCTGCCCTGGTGATACATTTCCTTGATGACCTCAAGTCCTGTTTTTAAGAATATGACAGGATGGGGGAGGCAGAGGCAGGTGGATCTCTGTGAGTTCCAGGACAGCCAGGACTCCTACACAGATAAACCCTGTCTTGAGAAACCGAAGAAGAAAGCAAAAGAGGATATGCCATGCTTATCTAAATGGGGGAATGAGGGAAAATAACTGTTGCTGGCTGAGGAGGAAAGTGCCAACTCTTTCATATAGCCGTCCACTCTTTCAGCAACAACATCTTGTTCTGGGCTCAAAGTAGAAGGACTCCCACGTGCAAGGACCTCATCATATAGGTGGGGACATAAAAAAATCAGTCAACAGAAAAGAGATTACACCTTATTTTCAGAGAGATAAATACTGGAAGAAACAGTCACCACTGCCACCTGCTGGGAGCTAGCTATATGCAGGGGACTGTTAACTGTTGAATTTTTATAAGTGTTTGCTATGTGAGCATGATTATCTTTTGTTATTATTGCTAATTAGTAGCTATACAAGGTCACACAGCAGGTTAGTGGTGGGACTGCTAGGTGGCAGTTTGTTTCCAATCAGAACTGAGATGGGAAAATAATAGACTGTGGGTCTGGAAGAGCTGTCACTAGGGTGTGAGCAGTGTTGCTTTCCAGAGGAGAAACCTGATGTGTGAAGGTACCTAGTCAGAAAGCTGATGGCGTGAGAAACAACAAGAGTTGAGTATGTGACAAGACAAGGCTCAAGAGACTAGCAGGGCCAGGCAGCCCGAAGCTAGCTTTAGGTAGAGGAGCCATGAGCTCGGATCTGCAGCTTCACATTGTGGAGTTTCTGAGTTCTTCTGTGCTGGGACAGAACAGTGTCCTCGGCAGGATAGCTAAGCACTTCATCTCTCGGCTGTGCACCCCACCCTCGGAAAACCTTGTATAGTATTCTGAATGCTAATATTTACTAAAATGTTTATAAGTCAAAGAAGGGTTCCTTGCCCCCCCCCAAAAAAAACCAACAACAACAAAAAAAAAAAAAAAAAAAAAAAAAAAACTCTTTAATTCCTCATTTCAAGTAAGTTTCTTTTCATACGCACACTTCTCGGAGCTGCAGCTTTTGCAGCTCAGTAAGACTTTGGTGACTGTCAAAGCAGGAGACCTCTTTGTATACTGAAGAACATTTCCACAGCTCTTTTGACTTTGGGATATCCCAAACTTGTGTTCAATGGGATATTTTATTACAGGGGACTCTCAAATTGTCCCCTGTCCATCCGAGGGTCACCATGTGAGTGGTCATCATTGGCTAGCACCTTTTGGATGGATGATTGATAGCAAGGCCATTAACTCTCATGACTTGGCTTCCTGGTAGTCAGCTATAGCTGCTTGGGGCCTTAGTCTCTTGGATTTGTGCAGTGGCAAGTAGACTTCTCTCTGCAGTTGTCTCCTGTCTGAGGGGACAGCGCACCTGCCCACATTGCTGACCTGCCTGGACTGGTAAATGCCCTGCAGCCAGCATGGAGGAGAGATGCTTGCCGTTCCTGGTGTGCCGTGAGGACAGGAACTGACAGGTCTCTGAGCTTGATTTGGTCCTCTGCTCTGGCAGGGTCTCTCAAGGATGACTACCCCGTTACCCATTCTTCCTGTCCCTTAACAGACTGGCCTCAGTTTTGCTATGATGCCAGAGGCCAGAGTTGACCTTGCTTAACCTTTTGGGTGCTGGGATTATGGGCACACCATGCCTGGTTTTCTGTGGTGCTGTGGATCAAACCCACAGGCACTCTACCTGCTGAACCACACTCTTCCTAGCCCCATGACCCCTGTTTGTAAAAGTCAGTAGCAATGGGGAATGTGTGTGGTTGGGTGATGAGCTGACTTGAGGTGGAGAGGGATATGGATTGGTACCCAGCCATAAGTGTTCTCGACAGGCCCCTGCAGCACAAGTACTGTCTGTTGAATTCTGTGCAGCCTTTCCTCACAGCCTCTAATGTACTTGGGGAGCTTAGCCCTTCTCACCAGGAACCTCTGTGACACACTGCAGGGCATTATCAGGGTGTTCTGGGTCCCGTATTACTGGCTCAGCAGACACTTTCCTTTAGGAAGGGCCCATTTGATCAGCACTCTCATCTCCTGACCCTGAGCTCCTTATTTTAGTAAAGACAGAATGCGAGCCTAAAATGAGTCCTCCGTAGCTGCTGGGTATTCTGAACAGTAGTGGGCCAGCCCTTTCTCTGCAGCATTGACTGACTCGAGTCTATCTCAAGCTCCTGTGACCTCTAATCTGTGCCCCTGTATTGATCTGGGAGGAGCATGGGACTGACTTTATCCAAAGGGATTTCTGCCGCTTGGAGTCAGCTTCCCATCTCTTACCTTCATATTTCCACATATAGTACTCTGTTATTTTCTTGTATACCGTTACGTAGCTTGTTAGATCTTTTAAAAGAGGAAGCAGTTATATCATCCCAAGAGGTTGCCTCTGGGGGAAACCTTTTTTTCTTTTCTCAGGATTTGTTTTCAGGCAGCCTGGTCTTTTAAGTCCCAGTTGCAGAAGCCACCTAGTGGCTATCGTCAGGTACTGCATCCAGTGAGCAACCTACATTCAAGAGCTTGCCTGGTACATTAATTGTTCAGAGACAAGAGTCTGCTCAGGGTGTCTGGGCTGAAGCCTGGGAATTCACATTCCTGAAAAATCCCTTAAGTAATATCAGTAAGTATCACAAGGCTAGAGACAGGCCCCTTACTGTGGGCTCACACTGGAGTCTGCTAGAGAGATTTGAGAACTGGCTGCCATCTGTGTGTTCTCCCTGAGATTTCCTGTGTGATAAGTATGGTTGTAGCTTAAGCTCCATAAGTGCTTGTGATGTCCACCTGAGTGGAGAAGCATTGGGTTCTAAAGTAGAAATAAACACAGTCATTAATTCCTAAGGTTGGTAGTGAAGTCACATGACAGCGTTTCAGGCTGCATCTTATCCCTTGAATGTGGAGGAGACAGAGCTCCATGTGGTTGTGATTTGAGTCAGCCAAGGACACGGCATCCAGGCTAAGGTAGGATGGTCTTGGCACATCTTCCTGGCCAGTTGTTTTTGTTTCTCTTTAGTAGGTACGTGTCTCATCCCGTGGCTCAAGCAATTATCTTCCAGCCTCCTGAGTGTTGGCACCATAGGCCTGTGCTCCTGTGTCCAGCTGTTCTCACCTGGATGTTATTGTTGCTATCAGGCTTATTAGGTTTTCTTTTTATTCTGTCACATTTTTAGAACTCAGAGCTCAAAAAAGGGGGATCTCTTATGTCTTACTGTCCAAACAGCTCTCTCATCCCCCTACTCAATACTGTGGCCAAACATTACAAACCTTATGCCATCCAAGCAAAGTCCCCCTTGGATTTGTGTCCTGCACAGTGTCCAGGCCAGCAGTCACAACCTGCCTATTGCTTAACTAGCTCATTCTTGCTTGAATTTCCTCAGTGTTTGAATGCGGTATCACGGGCCTTATGGGTAAAATGGTGCATATTACAGCATCTGCAAAGGAAGAAATGATTTGCAGTCACATGTGAATGTTACCTCTGGTCTCACAGAGTCTGTCAACAAGCAACCTTAGATATAAGCAAGGCATGATGGTCAGGGCAGACTTTTTTTTCTTCCTTTCTTTTTAAATTTTATGTGCATTGGTGTTCTACCTGCATTAGTGTCTGTATGAAAGTGTCAGATCACTTGGAGCTGGACTACAGACAGTTGTGATTTGCCACATGGGTTCTGGGAATTACACTTGGGTCTTCTGGAAGAGCATCCAGTGTTCTGAGTTGCTGGACTATCTCTTCCACCCCTGGGACAGACTTCTTAAGAAAGTGATGACTTGAAACTAAAGTGATGACCAGAGGCCAGGACTAACTGTAGTGGCCCAGACAGAGGGCACACAGGTATTTTTGCACTGTGGGATATATGAGAAAGATTACTTGCTACAAATCAGCAGTGGAGTTGTGAAGCTAGAGTTGTGACAGTAATGAGGCATACACAGAGTGTGTTTCCAGATCCTCAGGAATCATAAAGAAATGGAAGGAAAATACATCATGATTGGGTTTGTGTTTTGAATTGACCTTTGTGATAAGGGTATGTTTGTCAGTGCCAGAGATAAAGGGGTACCCATCTGTAACCACCCATAGCCAGTTATAGTTAAGATAAACGTTCATGGCCAGCTGTGGAAATTCTCACTCATGGTATTTCCTTTTTACAGGAAAATCCCACCAGTGCCCTGTACTACATCACCCGTTTCTACCCGTGTTCCTCACCGGACAAATTCTGTGCCCACATCACAAGGTGGGATCAGCTACTTTGCAGCAACCACTGTCTCTACATCCCCAGTTATGCTGTCGTCCGCCTGCATCTCCCCAAATAGCAAATCAGTGCCAGCTCATGGAACCACTCTAAATGCACAGCCTGCTGCTTCTGGGGCAATGGATCCCGTGTGCAGTATGCAATCCAGACAAGTATCGGCTTCATCCTCATCCCCCTCCACACCCTCTGGCCTCTCTTCAGTCCCCTCCTCACCTCTGTCCAGAAAGCCTCAGAAATTGAAGCCTAGCAAGTCTGTAAGGCCCAAGGAATCTTCTGGTAACAGCAGTAACTGTCACAATGCCAGTAGCAGTACCGGTGGTGGCTCAGGAAAGAAACGCAAAAGCAATTCCCCACTGCTGGTTCGTTCTTCCTCCTCCTCGTCACCCTCCTCCTCATCACCCTCCTCCTCTCATTCCGTGGACTCTTTTAGGAAAAACTGTGTGGCTCACTCTGGGACTCCATACCTGTCAACGGCAACATCTTCCCATAGCCTCGGCCTCAACTGTGTGACAAAGCAAGCACACTCGGTGAGCCTGCGGCATGAGCAGGCAGGGAGGGGCCCTCCTGGTGTGAGCCCTGTGGAGCCCATCAAGAGGATGAGTGTAATGGTGAATAGCAGCGACTCCACTCTTTCCCTTGGGCCATTCGTTCATCAGACCAGTGAATTGCCTGTCACCTCACAGGGCACTTTTCCACACTCACACACTCCTCTAGACAAACTCATAGGGAAGAAAAGAAAGTGCTCTGCAGGCTCTAGCAACGCCGGCAACAGTGGCAGCAGACCTACAAAGGTTGCCAAATTGCCAGCCATGAACAACGTCCACATGAAACACACAGGCGCCATCCCCGGGGCCCAAGGACTGACGAACAATTCCCTCCTTCATCAGGTAGGAAGTGGACTCTGATCTCCTGGAGGTGTCTGTTACCTCTTTTCGGGGGTCTTCTACCAGCTCTGAAAACTGTGGTTGGCTTGGTTGGTTTGCCTATAATGGGTGCCCAGCTTTTGTGGTCACCTTTAACAAAGGGAAGTCCCTGTCCATCTGAAGGGAAACATTTCTACAGAATGTCGAATGCCTTTCAAACATGCATTAGCATCAGGCATGACAGCACAGCTGAAGGGGGTTCCCTTTTCAGAGGCACAGAACCGGTACCCTGAGTCTGCTAGCAAAGGAAGCTGGGAGCGTTTAAATCTGTGTAGTGATTCTGATTCAAACTGATTCTAGTAAGCAATTACATTAGAACTTAAAACAAAACAAAAAAAAAAAAAAAAAAAAACCAAAAAACAAAAAAATTTGAAATCTTGAAATGCTTTTTATCTTGAGCAAGTTCAGATATTTTTGGTTAAATTGCACCCATATTTTCTCCTCCATATTTTCAAAGGAGGTAGGAAGTTAAGATTCTGGGTTGGTACAGCTGAAGACTGAAAAGCTTGTTCTAAGTCATACCTTAAGACATGTACTGTGCATCACATTAGTGGGGTGGTTCCTTGGGGTCATAGTAGGTTGTGACTTGCTTGTGCTGCAAATGGTCTGTTCCCCAACCTTCTTGTTGGTTTCTTCTGACTGCCTCTCATGTAGTTCTTTCTTCCAGCTTCTTTTACCCTAACTTCAGCTCATCTCCCATCTTGTTATTTCATACATCAGGATATCTTCTCTCCTTGCTTACGAACAGGAATTGCAGCAGCAGCACCCCAAAGCCCTGACTTAAAAAGTGAGGCTCTCTCGTTATTTCCCCTTTCCTCACCCTCAGAACTTAAGTGCTTGGGGCGTGTTCAGAAAAATGCCAAGACCTTTCTTACTGTAATTTACTTTTCTCCAGGATTTGTGTGACTTGGCAATGTCAAAATTAATAGGGAAATAGCTACTTCTGCTTAAGTTTGGCCTTCTGGATTAGGAATACTTGAGCAAATGTGAACTTTGTTTTTGCTTATGTCGTGGTTATTTATATAGTAATGATTCATGTAGCATTAGTACAAAAACAGTAAGGAATAATATAGACACCCCTCAAAGCCCCCTCTGACCATGGTACCCTGTGGATAAGATCTCTGTAGATGAGGTTGTATCCATTCCACATCTGTAGCATAGAGCACTGTCTTCATTTAGACGGTTACACTTGTGTAGATCTTCCTTTTACCCATATGTAAGGGGGGACATGAAGGTAGAGATGGGCGCTGGGGGGCAGCAGGGACAGACTCACAGTGCTTAAGTGAGATCTAGGAGTGCGGGAGAGTTCCACCAATGTGGAGCAGTTGTTCTCTGTCCGTCACCATTTCAAAGAGAAATTTCAGAGCTAGGCTTGGGTGTGAAATTTCTCTCTATGGCCTTTTTAATAAGCCTACTACAGCCTACATATTTGTAGGAGAGTTTGAGTTAGGATCTGCCCATTTTCCTCTGCTTTTTACCCCATGGGGTTGGGGGTTATCTACTAAGAAGACCCAGACAGTCCAAGTTGGAATTCTTAAAATCAATTGAAACTCAAGTTTGTGTTCTAGAAATATTTTTCTGTGTTGAGGATGCTTTTGTTTTTCTTTTTAATTGTAGTTAAAAATTCTTGGGGACCCCTGTGGCTTACAACCAGAGGATATATGTGAGCCTTAGGAAGTGTTTTATCTGACTGGGAAGGCTCTTATAGCTGCACAAGAATCTCGGAGGGACATGATTTCAAAGCACTTTAAAGGATGAGATCTCTAGAAGGGGGCATGGTGACACACTTCTTCAAGGCCAGCCTGATCTTCATAGCAAGTTCTAGAACAGCCAAGGCTACACAGAGAGACCTTGTCTGGAAGCAAACATGTTTCTAGAAAAGTAGAACCCCCAACTTGCTGTTTCTTTTTAAATGGTGTTTGTTGGGCTGGCTAGTCTTTGAAAACAGAAGTGGTGTGGGGAGCCCAAGGCATTGCAGTGAGTATCTCTACACACATCCCCCCCCACCACCACCACCACCACTAGTCTGTTCTTGGCTGCTAGTTCTTAATTTACCCCATGGGAAGGACAGAGCTTCTTCCCTGTGCTGTGGGCCCTGCCTTGGCATAAACTGCCACACCTGTGTATTAACACATGCGATTCTGTTCTGAACTAACAGCCTAGAGTGCCTTCAAGAACACAAATTTAAAGACACTTAGACTAGAAGGCCAAGACGAGAGCTGGGAACCCTGGCAGCTGCCTCTTGTGCCAGTCGGTTTTCTGAAGTGAGTCTTTACAAAGCTTGAGGCTGGCCTTGTGGGGTTCTCCCTGGTCACAGCAGGTCAGTGGAGGGTTAGTGTCCGATACACTTGTGTAGCATTGAGAGCACAGCATTTAGCCACTTACTTATGTATTTCCTCACCTCTCTTTTTTGAAAGCCAAAGGCACGTCCCTGACAGCTGACAATACCACTGGAAGGAATAATGCAGAAATTTTTGAAGACAAGTTACACCTCTACTCAGCACTCTGGACCCCACGATGCCTTTGAGTCTCTGTGTAAACTCCTGTGGGCTCCAGGGTAACCTGTGGCTGTCTCCCAAGGATTTCCTGAAGCTGTGTCTGTAGCAGTGAGTACCCAGAAAGGACACTGGATCAAGTTCAGCCACCGGACTGCTTTATCCCTGGTAAAGTGGTCTGGACTGCTTGCTACCAATCTGTGAGAAGTTTTTGTTTGTGTTTTCTGTTTTTGTTTTTAACTTGCAGCATATCATGGAGCCACTCTTGAAGTAGATTGGCTGGGCAAAAGAATGTTTTGGCAAGAGCGTTACTGTAGACTCTTCTTCCTCCTCCTTTTTCCGCCATTTTTTTTTTTTTTTTTTTTTTTTTTTTTTGAACACATTCTCACCTGTAGGTCAATTCTCCAGCAGGTAGGCACCTTAACTGGAGATTGCAGGCCTTCCAAAGAAAGGGGAGCGAGTTGCATCCTGAGTAGCCTCCTAGAGGATATCTGGCTTGAGATTTTTCTTTTAGCAGTGTTCAGGAATAGAATACTGATGTTGGTCAATGCATCAAGACATAGTAGCCGAGCCTTTCCCTGTAATGTGGGATAAGAAGCTTATCAAGTTCTTCCAACTTAAGAACTGGTTTGAAGCTGCTCATACCCGGATATTAAGTTGAAAGTATCTCAGACGATTAGTTTTCATGGTACAAAAGCATGTGTGATACAGAGAGAGAAAGAAAGGAAGAGTGAAGAAAAGGAAGACGGAGAGACAAGGAAAACTAGTTTTGGTGATGAAGAGCCAGTTGGGACACCGGTTTTGGGGAGGTGAAAAAAAAATTACGAAAATTATGAAGTGGGGCAAAACTTGCAGGATTTCCAAAGAGACGGACTTTTCCTGTTAATGCATTCATTGTTGAACAGTGTGTCAGAGTGGGCTGATTGTCTTACTCAGTCTGCTTTTTAAGATTTGCCTTTTTTTAAAGTTATTATGATGTCCTTAAATATTTCCAAGGCATTACCCCCATTTCCTCTTTCAATATTGTTTGGAGAAGTGTAAGTTTCTGCTTTCAGGATAGCTGTCATTGTGTCTGTGTCGCAACTTCCCTTTGGGCCAGTAGGGATGTGTGTTTGGATGCAGGTGGACTGAGGAAGGGTGGTCCTAGAGCCTCGTATGTGCCCATGGAGGGGAGTGGCTTTGTGAGGGTCAACAGTGTTTACTCATGCACACCCTCCTTTCTGGTGGCCGTGACAGCCATCTTCCTTGAGTGAGGTATAAAGCCCTTTTAAGATTTTTCATTACCCCACTTCCAAGGAATGTTTAATATGTAAAAACATTGCTTGAAAAGTTGTCTACCAGTGAATTTGGGGATGATCTAGGGCCAGTACCACAGCTCCTGCACAGACAACCAAGTCCTCTGGCTTAGGAGAGTACAGTAGTAGAGTGGCCAAAAGAGTATAGTCCCCAAGGCTCTTATCCTTGTCTTGGCCAGTGTCTGGGCAGAGCCCAGTCAGTGCATCCTTTCCCCTATAATTCTTAGGTTACAAACTTGAGTTTCAGGGAATTTCAGTCAACAACAGGTAGAATGAATAAATACTTGGTTACCAGCCTAATAATGTGAATTGCTACACTTACTCTTATTCTTTAAGAACACAAAGACTTTATGCAGATACTTTAACTATAAATTAATGTAAAATGTTGAATTTTTCTAAGGGAGGGAAAACAAAATCTTATTCACTTATGCAATCAATCAGTGAATGTTTTAGAGATAATGCTAGAAGAGAGCTCTAAGGAGAGAACATGGATGACCAGTGTGGTCAAGTTAGGAGGGATCAGTCTGTCCCATCCCAGTGGTGGGAAAGGAGGGAAGAGGGAATCAGAGTTCCATAGTGATTACTTGGTGACAAGTGCAATGGGGTGTGGGTAGAATTTATTCTCAGAGCCAAGGGGACTTGATGGTTATAAATTAAGTTGCTTTTAGTGATGGAATTTATAAGACAGGTCATGTTGTTCCGAAAGATGTGAATAGGAGCCACAATAGGACATTTATAATAAAGTTCATAATAGAGACTTAGATTAGTGAGTGTTATAATTTGATTTCTTAGACTGGGGTTTTAATTGAACTTCATTATATCCCCGGGTAACACACAGAGCCTTGGGATGAGGAAAAGCCATTTTGGATTCTGCCTGCCACAAACAGACATATTCTAAACAGTGCTACTAAAGTTTAGACTGTTCAAATATTTTATTTTCTCTGACAACTACTTTTTATGATGATGAACAATTAAGACCATTTAAAATATGGGAGTACAAATATTTTTTTGAATCAGATTAACTTGCAAAAACCAAATTTGCAGTACTTGGATTGTTTCTAGACAGACTTTGGTGTCAATTTAAAACCAAGATAATTTTTATATTCTTTCCAATAGAATTCATGACAGCTTCTGCAGTTTTCTTAAACTACACAAAAAAAGTGCTGCAATGATGAACAAAGAATTATTAAAAAAAAAAACTACTTTTGTATCTTTATTTTGGAATTTCTTGTTCTATTATAAATATGGAAGTATCCCTATTTCAGAAGACATATTTTGTTAAAAAATGAATTGTACATATTTAAATATGTATTTTTGCACAGGTCTTTTTTTCTGATATCCTGTTTTGGTACAATTGAGATCATCTAGTATTTATTTATTAATTAATAAAAAATAAATACCTTTTTATAATTTGAAGTGGTTCACTGCCAAGCCAATAGTTTAGAACCTGCCTCCTTTACAGTTAAGGGATGTCTCTGTTCTGTGAAAAAGTCTCTGTCCCTTTTATTGTCCCAGGAGTGAATTCATACAGATGAAGTGGGCGTGGCTTCTCTCAGTTGCCTGATTTACATTTAGACTACATGGAACAAAGTGACACACTGCTTTTTTTTTTTTTTTTTGTGTGTGTGTGTGTGTGTGAGAGAGAGAGAGAGAGAGAGAGAGAGAGAGAGAGAGAGAATGTGTGTGTGTGTGTGTGTCAGAGAGTGGGGAAAGGAGAGAGGGAATACTGTGTGTGTGTGTGTGAGAGAGAGAGAGAGAGAGAGAGGATACTCTGAGCACACCTGTATTATTAATATGTGATGTGGTTTAAACTAATGGCGAAAACAAAACAAAGCTGAAAAGTGCCTGAACCTAGTTTTAGCTCAGACAGATTCTCTTTAAAGACTTGAATGCTGAGTTGAACTTCTGGAGTTTGCTTTTTCCACCTAAATGTTATCGCTAAAGTTTTAGGGGAGAAGTTAAAAGCCATCAAGGCTAATTTTTATAAGGTATTTTAAAATTAAGACATTTTGGTTCACAGTAATTTAACTGGCAATTGACTGCCCAGTGCCACCAAGGGTTATAAACCAATGTCAGCCAGCAGCTGTTTTGTTATTCACTCATGAAATACAGAGTTTAAGATAGGATATTTAAAATATTTTATATAAAAAAATACAAGAAGTACCTCTGAGAACATTGAAACAAATGTTTAATTTGAAAAACAATGTAACTTATAAAGGCAGCTGTCTTCCTGTAAGAGTTCTGTTGCCAAGGGATTTCTTAATGTCTCCATTCTGTCTTGGGTCTGGGAAAAGTTAGGCTTTGAAAACTGATTGTTAAAAGTTTCATTGTTTAAAAGAAAATAATCATTTTTACATCTTGTTGTAAAACATTTTACCTTTTCAGATCACTTAAATGAGCACTACATATTGTCATGTCAGTGTGAATGCAGAGCCTTGAAAAAATATTTTTTTTTTTTTTTTTTTTTTTTTTTTTTTTGAGCTTGGTTATAAGAGCAATCTCCTGTGTTAAATAAAACGTGTGAATAGTTTGATAAATGTGTACACATAATCAAGAGCATCTCAGCTGGACTTTGTGTTGGCTGCTGTATAGAAATGAACAAATGTCAAGGGATAGAAAATTACTTTGGATATTTAAAAGAAAAGAAATATATAGTCTATTTGTTTTGTAACAAGTTTCTGTAAATAAAATAATTTATACTATTTATAAGAAAAAGTTGTGCTTTGCTTTATGAGAAACTAGTTTGTTGAACAAACATGTTATTAAATGGGCAATAAAATTAGGACTTCTCAATAAATAAGGTTGGCTGCATGAACTGCTTTACATGTTTCTGCCTTGTTGTGGTACTAAGCCCTCTCACTTTAGTACCTTCCCATGAGCTTCCCATCAAACAGCCTTGGATTCAGCCTTCCTCCAATACAGGCTCAATTCTCTAGAGACTGCTGTGTTCCCGTTCTTGGTCACTAAACTTTGCCTTGGATGAAATTGATTCCTGTATAAGCACGCAGTGTCATATCCTGAAGGAAACGGAGAAGTCAGCAGTGCAGAGACACCATTCTACTTAAACTTGCTCATTTGTTAATGTGAGGCCTGTGTTAAGTTTGTGTTAGATTTTCACCTTCGAGGGAGGTTTAAATATGGAGTCCATGCAGTCTCTTCTTTGATTGATATATATACACATACATACATACAAACAATTTTTTGTTTTGTTTTTGAGACAGAGTTTCTCTGTGTAACAGTTCTGGCTATCCTGGAACTCATTTTGTAGACCAGGCTGGCTTCCAACTCACTTAGATCTGCCTGTCTCTGCCTCCTGAGTGCTGGGATTAAAGGTGTGCACCACCACCGCCTGGCCTGGCCTGACCTCTTTGCCTCCCCCTCCCCCCCATTAGCCATACAAATTCATTTGTTTTATTCACAGCACAACATAATTGTATAGTCATTCTAAATTTTTTGGTTGCTGCTTAACATAAAGGAAACAACTCACTTGGGAAAACGCTTATATAGTGCATGAATTAGCCAAACTGAACCAACCCTTCACTACCTTTGTGAGCATTAGTGAGAAGATGCAGTGGCCCATCTCCTTTTGGATAAATGTTTTCACTGTGTCTCCAGGCCATCAAAGAAAAGGATCAACTACCCAATCACCTGCCTTTCCTAGTAGGTAACCTGGCCCTGGGTGGCAAGAAACAATCTCAGGGGGCAGAGTCAGCAGTTTTTAGATCTTGGCAAATGGGATTTCCCTGGCAGAAATGCACCCTGCAAAGGAGCTAACAGAACAAAGAGTATGAAAAAGATGTAGATGATTCATGAAACTCACTGGCCAGGAGGTGCTGGTGGACTGTCACTGTTGGCTGTCATGAGCCTTTGTCCTCAGGAACATAAGCAGCAAGTTCACACTTAAAGGTAACTGCTAGAGCCCAGAGGTACTTCCTGGGTCAGTTTGTCTGGCCACTTAGGTGTTTGCCACAGCACGGAAGTCAAAGACATGCTGGACTCTATTTCCTGCATTGTCAGGCTTTTCTATCAGACATCTTTACT